TTTTCAAACTGTAGCTTGGCCTGCCATCGTCCTTTGGCAAGCGCCTTAGCTGCGGCATTGATGTCTTCTGGCCGCTTCTCTAGTTGTCTGATTCGCAGGGCTAATAGGTCTTCTGATGACATTCCCGACCTAAATCCTTCTACCAAAAAGCTAGCTTCTACTAAGTCAAATGGCAGAACCGGGTCTACTCCATGGAGCAGCCAGTAAGGGCTAAATCCGCTAGCTCGTCGTGTGGTGACTTTGTCGGCAAAAAAGGCATGGTGCACTTTGCTGGGCCATTGGCTGATGTCTCCTTCACACGCTTTGATAATTCCCTCTCGAATGATAAAGTGTCCTCTCTCCACAACTCCATTTGCCTTGGAATTGTAAGGTGAGATCTTGATCTGGGAAATGCCATAGCGCTTTAGCAACTTGGCGAAGGACTTCTTGAATTCCGAGCCATTGTCGGTTACGACTTCAGCAATATGTCCATATCGGCAAATTATTTCTTCCCAGAAAAATTTGGCAAGAGAATCTGCATTACTCTTGCGCAGTGCTCTTCCTTCAGCTGCTTGTGTTAGGTCATCTCGTGCAGCTACAATATAGCGATATCCCTTGGCTTTCGGCATGAGCATGACATCGGCATACAATTTGGTGAAGATGGTTGCTGGTGTTGATATGGTAAGGGGTATCTCCACTTTTCGGGTACTCCTAATCTGGCATTCATGGCAAGAGCTAACATGGGCTTTGACATCCTGAAACATATAAGGCCAAAAGAATCGATGCTTGATGGTGTGGTAAACTCCATGGACACCACGATGTCCTAGCTCCTCATGAGCCTGAGTAAGGATTCTGCTCTTTTGGTTTGAGTCTAAGATCACCATTACTGGTGGTTGTAAATTGATCCTCTTGAACAGCATTCCCCTCTGCAAGAAGTATCTTCCTGCCTTTTGAAGGAATCTTCTCCGCTCATTTGCAGATAGGTTGGGTGGAGTTTCCAGGGTTCTTAAGAAGTGCTGAATTTGGTGGAGTATGAGATCCTTGCTGTTCTCGTTGATGGCTAGAACATCTGGTCCTTCCTGATCTGATTGTACTTCCAGGTACCATGCTAGCTTCTCGAGCCAGTCGTCCCTTTCTTCCTCCGCTTCTGCTTCTGCAATTTCTTCAATTGTAGGCTCTCTCCGTGACAACCCATCAGGTCCTTTGTGCTTGGCGGCTGGCACATGTCGTAATTCAAAGGTGAACATCAATATCCCTTGAATCCACCGATTTACAGCTGCATTAGGCTGGAGATCGGGGTTGTTAAGCATATCCTTGATATACTTCGCATCCACTTCTAACACTAAATTCTTGATTCCAATCAAGTGGATCCGCCAGTGCCGCAAGGCACGATAACATCCAAATAATTCCAGCTTTGGCTGGCTATACCTGGCCTCTCTCTCGTTGAAAGGTAGGGATCCATAACGAGCTGGTCGTCGCTTGCCATTCTCATCGTCCTGGGAGAGTATGAAGCCTACGGCAATCTTACTAGAATCTACCGACATATAGACAGGTCGATCTGAGTCATAGTCGATTGGGTGTAGGGCGGGTGCTTCGGTGATCAGTTGTTTAAGCATTGCAAATGCTTCAGCTCTCCGCTCATCCCACACAAATTCTGTGTCCTTTCGAACTAGCTCTGTCAGGGGCCTGGCAATAGCCGAGTATCCTTGAATCCAGATTCGGACAGTTCCGCATAAACCTAGAAATCCTCGCACGTCCTTGACGGTCTTTGGTGTCGGCCAATTTCGCACTTTATCCACCTTTCCATCCTCAGGCAGACGTCCTTCTGGAGTGCACTTCTGTCCTACGATAATGACTTCTGGCCTGCAGAGCTGCATTTTGTTGTAAGAGAATGTGGCTCCTGCGTGGCCTACTCTGTGCATGATACGATGTACATCTTGGGCATGTTCCCAAATGAATCGGCGGATGCCTGGGTTTCCTTCTAGAAGCTCTGGATTCCCATCAGAATCCAGGTACTGAGTTTTCGGTCCTTTTATCGGCAAATCATCGATAAATATGTTGGCGACCTTTGGAATTTCATCCTGCAATATAAATGTCATGCAGTTTTGAAATTCTGCCGGCGAATTCGTAAAGCCGGTTGGTAGGGACGTAATTCGAAGCAGGCCTAATGGAGTAGAGAAGGATGTCATGTCTCGACTCTTGGCATCCATTTTCCTGGCATCGAATCCCCAAAATAGATCGAAAACTGAATAGCATTCCCTTCCGGCGAAGGGTTCTACAAAATCATCCAAAATAGGAGGAGTGCCACTGTCCCGTATAGTAACCTTATTTAGTGGCTGAAGATCATGGACTATGCGGAGTTTTCCATTTTTCTTTACCACACAAAACCATCGGGATCGATATGATGATTGGCTGGGCTCGTAAACTCCTGCAGCTATTTTGTCCTTGAGGACTCGTATAACGTCGTTCCTGATTCCCGGCGGAATCGGAATATTCGGATATGACCAAGGCACGTGAGGTACATATGGAATTATATATGGAGAGAAATAGTCTTCTCTGAATGTTCCGCGATCGGTGTCTTGGAAGGCTATCGCTTGTTCATTCAATTGCAAAATATGCGTGAACAGCTTCTCTTCTTCCGGCCACAGAAAGCCATCTGAATTAACCCCAATTTTGCCTAGTCGTTCTGCCGTAAACTTCACTGTCGGTTTGAAGTCTGGCGGCGTGACGGGTAACATCGGCAATGAATCTAAGGGGTTTTCTGGGAATTTCCTAATTACGCGAGCATCCTCGGGAAATATTCCTGGAACGGGTTTGATTTTCCGATCTACTCGCTTGTACATGGTCAGCACATCCGAGTCAGCTGACTGGGTGCTGATTTCGAGGTCCTCAAATGCGTATGAGGGGCTTAGCACGTTCAAGTGCTCGTCGTCGTCGTCGCTTAGTTGTACAAGATAAGAATCACTTTGATTACAAGCTGAAACTAGAGTAGTTTGAACAGGAGTGGAGCGCATAGACATCGGCAGACTGTTACTAGAATTACAAGAGAAAGGCGACGAAAGACAGGGACTTCCTGTTAGGGGAGTCTCAGGGTGAGCTAGAGCTGGCTGCCCAGCAGCGCAACACTCTATAGGAATGGTGGTGAGAGAAGAGGGGTAGGCATAGTGAAAGGGCAACATGACGAAAGGGAAAGGGATACCAGACAGCAGTAGAAGTACATTCAAGATAATGCGATAATAGGAGAAGGGCGACACGACGAACAACGAATGCGAGAGAGACCGTGTATCAAGGAAAAAGAATTCTTATCGAGGGAGATCAAGCCGGCGTACCAAGAGCTCCTCCCGCAGGCGCACTGCACTCGTCGCATGCATCGTCACGTACC